ACACACACACACACACACACACACACACACAAAGAAAATATCATTATTTAAGAATGTGTTTATACCTAGAGAATGAATTGCATGTAGTGTAGACCTATGCAGTGTTGTAGATTTGCTGGTGTTTCACTGATAAAGCTTTGCCTGACATATTGCTGTCCTACGTGCTTTTCTTTTTCTGCTTTGACATTGTCACATCGCTCAGCTCTGCAGGGCTGCTTTCCTGTTGTGCTGCTTACACTGCTTCACAGCTGCTGTCAGCTTACATTTCATCACAGGTTCCACTGGCTTGAAATAATGAGCAATAATGTTATTAAATGTAGATAGCCCACCATCTCTCAGTTCAGTTACAATTAACAGCTGCAATATGGCTAAATGTGTAGCTAAAGTACATTCTGGGGAATACAATGGTGTTTTAATGCTGCTGAAAGTGTTTTTATGTCTAAGCCACATTGCAGTTTCTTTTTGCAATTGAAAATGTGATTTTCTTTTCTGTAACTCATTACTATAAAAATAATTTATTCACTAAATAGGATGACAAAATGTGATGTAATGTTTGTATATCAGGGAAAATGAGCTGTTAAATTACAGACTGCATCTGTAACTAGAACTGATAAAATGCCATGAAGGATATTGAACCGTTTTAAAAAAATAATAATCTAAGTTTACATGTGCAAAGCATTAGCTTAGACTGTATTGGACTGTGCTAATGTGTTTTACTCTTTCTTTTTGTGTGTGCATGTGTGTATGCTGCTGTGTTTCTTTCCTTTCCAAAAGTGGACAGCTCTGTTGTGTCTGGCAAGAGCAGTAAAATCCCTGCACCTCTCCCTCAGTCCTCTGGCTTGCGGCCGGCGAGAGTAAACACAAAGATTGTGGTCTACAGCCCAGCTGACTCTTGCTCGCCTCTCTCTCAAGGTCCCCCCGGTTCTTTCCACTTCACTTGCTGCCTGTTCTCTCCCTTTTCAGGTGGCACTTATTAGTTTATCTACTGGGGCTGGTCCCGTCTGCTGTCACACCAGAAGCCAGGCTCAGCTGTGTCTGGCTGTGGCGCAATGAAGTGCAGAGTCCAGAACGTTCCTGATTGTCATTTCACCACAGAATTGGTGAAATTCCATTTGTGGTTGAGAATTGCTTTTGGTTTGACAAATCATAATATTTTCTCCCCGTGTAATTTTTTCATTGTCCGTAACAAATTCTATGAAAGTTCATATGGATGATTTGCACAAAATAGGAAGTTTCTTTAAGGCAACTTTGATCACCCAAAGTTTGCTTATATCCCTAAGATTAATAAAAGAAGCACCTTTTTCCTTGCCTGGTTCCAGGTGTGACTGGACAATGTAGATGAGATGTTGTCAGTGTCATGGTTCAGAAAGCAAGCAAGAGAGCAAATCCATTCTAAGATGGATTTTCCAGTCCTTTGACAACCCGCAGGTTAATTTCCCTTTAATATTAATCTACTCTGATTCTGAACACTTCTGACTTATGGAATGAAATATTGAAAAAGATATTTCATTTAAAAACAATTCTATCCACCCCTCTGATCATTACACAATGATAAACTAATAATCCCACCTTTTCCTTCTGAACTGTGCTGTAGTGGTTATTTCCATAATGCCTCACTGTGCTGGTGAACCCTGTCCCCTCCTCCTCCCCTCCTATCTGAGTTGTGTCGTGAAGTGAGTTTGTTCAGTGTGATCACTTGCTGTCCTT